AATACAAGTTACATGAAAATGATAGATTCATACCAGCTGACATAAATAAAATTGATTTGATTATATTATTTTTTGATTTTTTTTAATAATATCATTAAAATTAAAAAATTTAAATATAATTATCATGACAAAATATTGAATAACTTAACGTGTATATGTGCTAGACAAATGAATTTATATTCATTAGAAAGAGGTAATCAAGAGCTATCTATAAACCAAATATCGCATGAATTGAATCACAAATTGCGTAATAATTACGTTCAATATATTTATTTTTAACTTTTGACTTTGTTCGTTAATATCTTCACATTTAGTAATTCAATTTGAATGATCTTTTTTCTTTCAGGTAATTTAGGTTCTGGGCTTTCATATGAATATAAATATATGTGTTTAGTATGCATGTACACTGAGATATTAACAATTTTGTTAATTGAATAAAACTCTGATACAAAAATTTTTAAAATTATAATTCTTACAAAAGATGATCTTTACAGGTATTATTGAGTTCTTTTTACTTTACTTAATAAGGTTTTATTTGCTATTTCTGTTTTAAATTGAATAAATTAATAAAATCAATTTTAAAAAGTAATTAACAAGTAGAATAAAATCAGTATAGTAAAAAACAAAAAAAAACATCTTAAAAACTCTAAAGCATAACTCACATTTTTATTTTGTATATATTTTTACTAAAAAAAAGAAAGGAACTAAGGTTAAAAATAAATGAAAAAAGATTTTTCTTATTAATATAAATTATTAATATTTGTTTTCTTACTTACTGATTAAAAAAAACCTGCTATATATACCTATAAACTTTTCTAAGTCACTTAACAAAAATCTGATTGAAAAGTAATTGAAAAGTAATTGAAAAAGAAAGTAGTTGCTATTGTTATTTTTGAATAAATGTTAAAAATTTTTTTTTATTTTTTGATAGATTTAGATCATCTGATTATGTAACATATAATTTAAGCTTGTGAAACATAATTTTTGTTAAAATGTGCAAATCTTTATGAAAATCTTAATTTTAGCTAATTTCACAAATTGACAAATATAAGCAGTATTAAGAAAAATTCGCAAGAATTTTCCTTGATACTGCTTAATTTTTAAATTAAAACCTTAATACTACTAAATTAGTTAAATTAGAATTAAGTAGGACCCCGGACATTACATATATAACTCATAACTGATCTGCATGAATTTAAGTACTTTTTGCTTCTGCTAAAATAGACCTAATTTGCCAAAAATCAAATTATTACATTTCAAATCTATACTAATTTGCTAAAACTCAAAATATGAGTTAATAATCGTTTTTTTTATTATCAATAAAAAAATAAATGATTAATATAAATTAAACTGCCAATTTTTATAATTAAAATATGTAGATTATAGATAAAATAATAATTAATAAAAATAATAAATCAAATAAATAATTATTAAAAAATAAAATGTTGCGAAACTAAACGGACAGTTTTTGGCACGCATTATACTTAATTTTAGCCAGAATTATACTTAATTTTAGCTAAAATATAACCCGGACCCCGAAACTAATATTTTTAAAAATATTATTTATAAAGTTAAAAAAAAAGGATAAGTTAAATTTAAAAAAAAGTACCAATTTGCTCAAATATAAAATATGACTTTGTAAAATCAATACAATTTGCTAAAACTCATAATTATGACTATTAATTAATTTTCAATCAATTTGCTCTATCTAAAATTATGAGTTTAACCTAATTTTGATTGAATTTGCTAAAACTCAAATGTGAGTTATATATGTGATGTCCGGGGTCCTAATTAAGTAGTATTAAGAAAAATTTGCAAGAATTTTTCTTGATACTGCTTAATTTTTAAATTAAAACCTTAATACTAAATTAGTTAAATTAGAATTAAGCAGTATTAAGAAAAATTTGCAAGAATTTTTCTTGATACTGCTTAATTTTTAAATTAAAACCTTAATACTAAATTAGTTAAATTAAAATTAAAATCTTAATACTAATTTATAAAAATGATTTATAATTGAGTTTTGAATTTAGTATTATCAATCAGACTTTGAACTTAAAAATTAAACAGTATTAACAAAAATTCTTGCGAATTTTTTAATAATTGTGATTTTACATCAGTAAGTTTTTGGGTAGTACATATTAGTGGTTACTAGTATTGTTTGATGCTTTAAAGTGTAGAAAAACTTACCCTATCACACGTCAAATAAATAAAAATTGGCAAAAAAATCAGATAGCCAATTTTTGGCTATATTTGTTTAATTTGTAGCTTTTTGTAGCTGATTTTTTAGCACGAATTGACAAAAATTAGATATACCAATTTTTAAATTGCATATTCAAATCGGACTGCTGATTTTAGCTATATTTGTCTGATTTGTGACTTTTTACAGCTGTATTACCAATTCTTAACTACATTTTTCAGTTTTTTTACTATACAAAAAAATTGTATATACATTATAAAATATATATTTTTATAAAAAATTATATTGTAATATTGAATTAAATTTTAAAAAATATTTTATTAAGTAATATTAAATAAAAAACTAATCTTAAATAATTAAATTTTAAACAAAATACATTTAAAAATATAAATTTACTTGTAATTCAATGTAATACGCACAATTATAAAAAATTAATAACTCCACAAATATTAACTGTACTTTCATTAAAATAAATATTCAAGTAGATTCTAAGCTGCTGAACAATTTTCAATTAATAAAAGAAGTCAATTTACTTTGGCTAAAATGCTCAAAATACGCTCTGAAGTGACAAAACAGAAAAAAATAAAATTCGTAAATGAGTACCGTTGTGAAAATTATGAATAACTCATCAAGTATTAACTGTACTTTTATGAAAATTAATATTCAAGTAAAATTTGACATGCTAAACAACTTTCAATTAATATAAGAAGTTGTTTTACTTTGGATAAAGTGCTCAAAATACGCTCTGAAGTGACAAAACAAAAAAAAATAAAATTCATAAATGAGTACTGTTGTGAAAATTGTGAATAACTCATCATGTATTAGCTGTACCTTCATGAAAATTAATATTTTTAAGTAGATTTTAACCTGCTGAACAACTTACAATTAATATAAGAAGTTGATTTACTTTAGCTAAAGATCTCAAAATACGCTCTGAAGGTAAAAAAATTTGTAACTTAATACTACTGTATTATATAAAAAATGTAAATAATTCCAAAAATATTAAGTGTACTTTTATGAAGATTAATATCTTAACAGTTTTAAACTTACTGAACTACTTTTAATTAAAAGAATAAGATTTACTTTAGCCAAAATGCTCAAACCATACTTTGAAATATGTGTAAAAAAAATATAATATTTGTTTATATTTTAAATTATGAGTTATTTAATTTAAATGTGTTTATATTTAAGAAGAACCCCGGATATCTCCAAAACAGGTCATAAGTCACACTTTCGGCAGATTGGCCCATTTTTCAGGGGCTTAAAAAATCGTTTTTTGTAAATATCTCGGCATCCAGTGGTCCAATTTTGATGAACTATTTTTTAAATTGTAGAGCTAAATGAGGGCTACAAAATAAAAAAAAGTTCATTAAAATTGAATTACTGGATGCTGAGATATTTACAAAAAACAATTTTTTGAGTTTCAGCAAAAAGGGGTGTTTTTGGCCAAAAGTCCATTATGACCTTTATATTAGATATCCGGGGTCCTATTTAAGAAAAAAAATATTTTAATTCTATTTTATAAAGTATTTAAAAAATATTTTAGTAAAGTTTTTTATAAAAAAATAATTATAACTGAAATAAAAAAAAAATCTAAGTTAATAAATAAATATTAAACCGTAATACATAATCACATGTTATATATTAAAACTAGGAAACGGGAACCGTTGTAAGTCCGGAGCGAGGTATAATAAATAAAGATGTAGCGATATTCTACTAATTAGCAGCATAACGCCT